TGAATAAGACGCCCTTCAATTTTTAGCGTAAGGATTTTAGAAAAAAGTATTGTCTTATAGTCGGAAAAATACGGTAGGTCCTCTCATTGCTTCATATGTCTTAAGGTGAAGTTGAGGCGGTCAGTTTTCATTGGGCTGAGGGCCTTGCTGACTTTCGTGTGGTTTGTAGAGGGCTTCATTGCAAAAAGCCCACATTTTTTAATGTGTAGGGAAAAATTAAGTATTAAATTGCTTTGATTATTTGTTAAATTTTAACAAATGCATATTTTTAAAATGTTCCCCATGAATTCACATTTTAATTATTTCCCAGATTTAAAATAAATACATGAACAAAAGAACCTGCCCATTCTGTCATGATTGATTGATTATGTGCCATCAAGTTGTTGTTGACTGTTAGCGACCACATAGATAGATTTTTTTCCATGACGATTTGTCCCTAACCTGGTCTTTCAGGTCTTCCAACAGTGCATTCGTGGCCACTGTAACTGAGTCTACCCACCTTGCTGCTGGTCGTCCTCTTCTCTTTCCTTCCACTTTTCTCGGCATTAGAGCCTTCTGCAGAGTTAGGTCTTCGCATAATGTGTCCTAGTAGGATGATTTGAGCCTGATCATTTATACCTCGAGTGAGAACAAACATCTCATGTACTAAGGCAGCAACAAGACAAAGTAAAAAGAGGCATCGCCAGTGTGGTAGTTGTTGTTGATGGGCAAGGGGGCTGTACCTGAATGTGTGTCAGGTGCTCTTCTTGAGTAACTCAAAGCCTACTGTGAGATCCCTACCCCTAGACCCTTGTTCATATGTTGGAATAATAAGTGTTACTTGCTTGGAGTTGCTTGTTTGACAGTGACTTGTGCACAGTGAAGCATTAGCTGCAGCAGTACTGTTAGCAAGGTATGAATCTGTAGCATCTTATACAGTTCACACACTCAGGTTTGGGTACATGGTTTTGGATGCCACAAATAGAGTTTCTTTATTGGGTATATTGGCTGTTGTTTTCATTATAGCAGTATGCTTGGCATGGTCCTGTGCCCAAACAAAATAGGAGATATGTATATTGAAGGTGTGGGCATTCTGAGTTTCGTATTTTCCCCTGCTAGTGCTGTTTTAAGCAGATTGTTTTATCTATTGTTAGCTTAACACTTGATTTTAGATTTAACCATTTTATAGTATAATCTTTGATGTGATCCTGTTATTTCTTAAGTAAATTACTTAAAGGGGTTTTGTGTTGCCCTTATATCAGTGGAGGAAATAAGGGACATTTTATGGCATCTCTTTGGATCAGATGCAGGGTCAATTCAAGCAGTAACAGATCATCTTTTCTGACTCCTCAAATTAGCAATCAGAGTCCGAAACAAGATGGTCACAAACCAGGGGGAATGGATGGGTGGGAAATCTGCTACATACATGAAACCAAGAGCATTTATCCTCTTTTTTATAATATGACCTATTTTCCATTTGGAGAAAAAAAACAGTTATGAGTATGGGTAGTTGTCTCTGTGACTGAATCATTACTTGTTAAATCAAAATTTCCAGCTCCCACCTAAGAATCCTTTCCTCATCAGTACACAAATTGAATAAAATAAATCTGTTCACCTGTTTGATGAACAAGAACTCTTCCATGTTACGTACTTACGCTCTGGAGGAACTGATGATTCACCCCACTACCATACCTTGCCAAGAAGCACCAGTAGCAGTGCACAAATTGTTGTGGGCATTTACCCACCATTACAAAATTTCTCAATCAGGAGTATGCCCTAGGCTGTAGTTCAGAAACCACTGATTTAGAGCATACACCATTGTTTGAATAACTGGTAACTTTGATGACTTTATCTGGTCATTGAGCTAAAATGGCCCCATATTAGAGACTGAATTGTATTCAGGTTCAGATTTTACCTCTCATCTCTGTTTCTTCAGCATATGGGAATAGTAATTAAAAAAATGCTTAAAAGTGTGGTTAGCTTAAATAGTAAAACAGTAAACGTATATGTCTGTAATAAAAATATCTAATCTCCTGTAAATAATAATAATTATTTTGATTCACAGTTCTTAATTTACACTGGATTCTGAACTCGGCTGAACTGTGTTCATGGTCATTGCAAAAAACTTTCAATGTATGCATCCAGGAAAAGGAATGTCCTGCAGTTTTAACTCTCAGTTCAATAGAATGCCAAAAATTGTCAGTGTGACATGATCCATTTTTTGTTAAGTAGAAAAGTCCCTGATTTTCAGTGATTTTTTTACTCTTCTTGCTACACTTGCAGAAGTGTAGACTTGCAGAATCTTGTGTGTCCTTTGTCAGCAAATAAAGAAAATATGCATCCTGAACTTCCCCTAAATGTCCAAGGCAGTGCTCATGTGCTTTATCCTTCCCCACAGCTTCTTTGCTTCAGTCGTTTTTCAAAATATATTAATTTTAGTTCCATTATACTTCAAAGACTAGGTTACAAGCCCCTTTCTTGATTTTCCATTTATAGTGCATTGATCTGTTCAAAGAAGCAGAATAGTAGCTGGCGAAGTATTTCTGGAAGTATGTATTTCAGGCATACTATTGAGGGAAATGCCTAATCTATTTTCTGTTTTGTTTTGTTTTTTAAAAAATCAGAAGATACTGGCTGTACTCAAATGGATGTTTAGCTGGTGTGCGTAATAGGTTGTGTGCTGTGTCTTTTCATGGAGACTAACAGTACACTTGGAAAGAGATAAGCAGCTAATGGCTTCTGAGTCAATGATCCCAGAGCAAGGAAAACATATGATAACAGGAAAAAGACATCAAAAGCAGGAAGGAACACCTTTGAACAGTGATGGGGAAGAAGAAACATTTGTATTTGAAGCAAATGAAGCTTGGAAGGATTTTCACAGCTCTCTCCTCCATTTCTATGAAGCTGGGGAGCTTTGTGATGTGACGCTAAAGGTAGTGATCCATATTTTCTATATGTGTAACTTTTGAATTTCTGTATGGAATTCCCCTGTATTTTGTGAATTACTAGAAGATGTATTTGCTTTTCATTGCTTGTATTTCAGCTGATTGGGAATTAATTTCTAAGCAGTTACCTCACTCTTTTTATTTAAAAGTTGCTAGAAATCTTGCAGATTTAATAGAACAGTTGGTGCTTGTGGGAATCCTGCAATGGTGCTGTGTAATGATGGATCTGAACACAAATGACATTCACTTTCTCTCTAATTCAGAGGTGCAGAACTATTAGAAATACAGTGCCTAGATGAGTCCATTTAACTGGCATAAAATGTACCATTGAATGAACTTGTAGGATAAAAAATTAAAGTATAGTGGGAGTTTTTGCAACAAGTAGGAGGAATTCTTCCATAAACATGCCACTTTCCCCCATGTTAAGAGAGTGAGTTTATTTTCCTTATTTTAAATGGAGAACAGTTAAGGTAGCTACATTGAGTTATAATGTATTGTGGAAATAGTTATTAACAGTTTATAGCTGAACAAACGTTCTTTTGCACCCAGCAGTTTAGCTAATGGTTAGGGAGAAAGTTGTTGTAACATAAAAGGTGGGCCGCTACATGTGTGTAATTTATCATACAGCATTAAAAAAGTATAGAGGAGTTGACTAGACATAGCTTTGGCTCAGTTAGCTGTCTGTAAATAATGAAAAGGACAGCTGATTGCAAAACTGAATAAATACAAATTACCATATTTATCCATCAATAAGACGCCCCCATGTACAAGATGACCCCCACTTTTCCAACCCAAAGTTAAGAAAGCAATATTTTAAAGATAGCGCAGAACACATTTTTATTTAGTAATTAGGTAACACTTACCTGCTACACTCAGTGGGAGGAGGTCCAAACTGTCTCTCTGCAGCTCTATTTCCATGCTCTTTTG